ATTCCCATCAACACAAATATAACTTGGCTTAGAAAAAAATTATAGTGAGAATTTTTTATACATTGCTCAGAATTTGACAGATGGACAAGCACAGCCATAAAGAGCAAGCTCAAGATAAAAGACATTTCTAAAGTCTGTGTCCCTCAGAGAATACAGATCTTCTTCTTTCAAGTTCACCACCCACTTTGATACGGATGGTATAGTTCGCCACAAAGGAAATTTAATAAAGTCCCATAAGAAGAGAATTTTTGTAGATAACATTCACTAACCCAAGAAAACTAGCACTCAACAATAAGACAGCATGATACTCTCCATAACACGATCCACTTGGAAATTCAGGATCCTACCTGCTAAATAATTCTCAGACCAAAAGTGATTTAGAAAGGGACCAGAAAATATTGGAAAAATGAGCACTTTATTCTAAAGCCCACCAGCTACAACTATACTCAAGGAAGATGTTGAACATTATATGCTTTTTAGATTAAAAGACCAAAAATAAATGAAATCATTTATAGTGAAAGTAGAACAACAAAACAATACAAGTAAGAAGAAATGGACAAAGGCCGAAGTTAATAGTCAATCAATAGGGGGGAGAAAAGCAGAAAGAATAAAAAATTAATGTTATGATACATTTAAATTCCAGCACATCCTGTTAGAATCCCATTCATAACATATAATAAGAACACACCACAAGGCTTGCAGTCTGGCCTCAATTTGGGAAATAGCGTTAAAAACATCAACTCTTCCTAAGTAAACACACTGGGAACATTCCAAGCAGGGAGGATCCTTCTGGGTTGTTTACTCCAATACTGATTCAAGTCAAGAAAAACAGTATATGAGGGGCTGGGGATGTGGCTCAAGTGGTAGCGCGCTCACCTGGCATGTACAGGGTGCTGGGTTCGACCCTCAGCACCACATAAAAATAAAAATAAAGATGTTGTGTCTGCCGAGAACTAAAAAATAAATATTGAAAAATTCTCTCTCTCTCTCTAAAAAAAAAAAAAATAGTATATGATCTCAGTACCCTCAGTGAGGGCAAGGTTGAATAAATTATGGTGATTCCGTACTATAGAACATTCCACAGCTGCTGACCTGGCATCCCAGGAACCAAGAGCTACTGTCAGCAATAAACAAGTCACACACATATAAGATAGAGAATAAGTTGCACAGCACAGATTCAATTTGTGAACGGAGCAAAACTTTGTGGGTGCCCATGATGCAGGGGCAGGAAGAGAGAAGGGAGCGATCCAGGCTGCTGACAGCCACATGTCAACTCCTCGGTGAGCTGAGGAGGCAGAATCAACTCTCTGTGCTAGCCCACCTTTCACAGTCTACTTACACCCACACCCCAGGATGCTCACCTCCTCTTTCCCTCACCCATTTGTTCCAATCTAGCCTCTATTCCCATGGTCCCACCAAAACAGCAGGTGCTAAGACTACCGCCACTGACAATGGCAGCAATGCCACCACTGTCCACTTGCTCCTACTGAAGCAGGCTCACCTGGATCCTGTGTTACAGGTCTACCTGGCTCTCAGGTCCCCTCTCAGGCTGCTCTCTTGCCATCTCCAGTACAGGCTCATCTTCCTTTCGTTGGCTGTTAGAGTTCACCTACTCTATCACCTACTCTGTAAAAATAGCCATGACCTTTGTGGTGGACACAACAAGTTCACATGTGCTATCACCAGCTGGCCCCAAGCTCTCCCCACCCCAGAGTACCACGCCCCTGGCCTCCCTGTGAGCAGCCTCCAGCTTCTCTGGCCTCACCCAGACCGCTCTCTCCCCATTGTCCTCCAAGCCAGCTGCCCCCTGCCCCAGGGGTGAGGGGGAGGGGACTCTGATTTCCTCCTTAATCACCTGTTTCTTTTCTGCTTAGCAGTGGAATCCTCAGGAGCATAAGCCCCCAGAAAACTAGCACCAAGTGATAAGTGTCAGGCTTCATCAGCACACACTGATGCCCTAGCTTCGGAATTCTGGCTGTAACACACCCACTATATCAACAAGATCACTGCCACTCCCTGACTGATCTCAAACCCCTTCTGCAAACCTCTTGTTATCTGATTCTCCTCTTGAGGCAGCAGTTTGTCATCCAGAACACTGGGGCCATGTGGCTAAATGGTTTGTCCCAGGTTACCCAGCCCAGAAGAGAACTCTGTCCCCTAATTCCTTGGTTCCATTACTTTCTCACATCAGCAGGGGCAGGGCCAGCTGGGGCTCTGGTCACTACCCAGGCTGTAGGATCATCCCTATAACAAACAACATGTATTACAGGGATTAGGGCCAGTAAGTCTACTGTGGAATGGTGTCAGTGATTATGAGACAGTTCCATAAGGAATTCAACAACTCCTTTTACAAACACGAACTCCCACCTATTGCTTCATTTACCCTAAGAACTTTCCTATTTAGATATGGTTCAAATTCCTGATGCTCTAGGAACAATGGAATCAGGGGGTGTTGTAAAGAAAGGCCCAGAGAGACTAGAGTCGGCTCCCCTGACTGCAAAGCACACTCACACCAAACTCCCCCAGGACTCCCTGTGCGACCAACTGCCAGGAACTGCACCCAGGTTTCAGAGGGAAGAAGGCAGCAAGGAAGAGAGGAAGCCAAGCTCCTGGGTCCCTGAAGACTCAGAACTCAGCGTGGATTCCTGCCAGCACTGGTCCCTCTTCTCTGTTCTGCACAAAGTTCCTACTATCATCCCAACCTCCAGATTATTTTCCTGAGTCATATGACCAAAGCATCACTGCTCAATCATGTCCTTTTGGATAGAGTAACCAGGATGGACCCTTTCTGTTAACCTTGTCCTGGCTAAATAAAGGGGTCAAATGATCAAAGTTGGCCTCTCAGCTTCTCTCCCACCTTTCAGTCTGGATTTCCTGCCAGCTCACCCTCCCTGCTTTTCTCTACCTATTCTGTATATCCAGTACTTTAACCACAGAGAAACTACTTCCTTCCTGCTTCTCATTCAACTAATATTTCCTGAGCATCTAATAAGGCAAGGCCTATCCTGGGTGCTACCAGAGACCAAAAGATGAATCAGAAACACAGTCCCCACCCTCCAAAGACAGAACAGGGCAAGGGTAAGACACATGGTCATACAAATATTATCTACCACCAGGGCCAATGGCACATGCCTGTAATCCCAGCAACTCGGGAGGCTGAGTCAGGAGGTTGCAAGTTCAAGGCCAGTCTCAGCAACTTAGTGAAGCCCTGTTTCAAAATTTTAAAAAAGTGGGGGGGGGGGCGGTAGGAACGTGACTCAGTGTTAAATGCCTCTGGGTTCAATATTCAGGACCAAAGAAATACTATGTACCAGATCAAATGAGAAGAGAACTCAGCGTGGATTCACTCAGTGTCAGAGGAGTAGAGGAGGAAAAGTGCAAGCCAGTCCTCTCCTGTCTGCTGGGCAGCAGGCATCTAATGACTAGTGAATAATGGGCAAAATCAGGGAAGGAGGGCATTCAAGAGGGCAGAGATGCATGAGCCAAGACAGGGAGGCACATCAGAAAGGCAGTTCAACTTAGCTGAACCGTCCACTGCATGATGGCAGTAATAGCTATTATTATATTATTCAACAGCACCTAGATCTGATTACTTCGGCTAGGCCCTACTTTGCACACTTTATGCCTGAGTGACACCTACCTGGAACACACAGGTACAGTGCACCAGTTTCCACCTGTTCTGCCCGCTCAGGACATGAGCACTCCACAGTTGTTAAAAATATTAATTCACTGAATCCCCACAATAAGCCTGTCAGGAAGGAATTAGAATGATCCCCATTTTACAGATGAGAAAACCAAAGCACAGAGTCTAGAGAGATTTGGGAGGGGAGCAGGAGCCCAAGGTGGGCTAGTCATCAGATGCCTGCTCCTTTAAACTAATACAAGGCAAGGGCAATACCTCTTCTGGCCTCTCTTGTCAAGGAACACCTTGCAGCACAGACAGTGTCCTGAGGGAAGAGGACCTGTTAATCCTGGAATCCCCAACAACTGAGTGCAGCAAGGAAGGAATGAAGGAACACAATGAGTGCCTGGTGAGCAAGATAATCCGCCCTGCCCTGAAAGCCCTGCCCTGAAAGCCTGTAGTGTCTATTATGTGGGCAGGGCTGCAGGGACCGCACATGAAGGCCACTGGAAGGAGCAGAGGGGCAGGCTACCAGGATAGTCAGGGTCTGCCCACAGATGCTCATCTCCCCAGAGAGGTCACAGATTTGGAGGGCGGGGACACAAATGTCCTGAGGAGAATGTTCTCAGCTTCAGTTAGCTCTGGCTACCCTAGCTTTGCCCTTCAGTCTCTAAATGAGGAACTTCACTCTCTCCTTTAAACTAACAGAACCGCTTCTACCATTTTAAGCCTTCAGAGGGCTGGCTTGAGCCCCAGGGGACAGGCAAGTCCAAGAATTCCCTCCCGAAGTTGGCATAAGGACTGTGGGTTGTGGGGACAGCACCTAGGCTGGATCCCGCATTCTCTCAATTACTTGGGAGAGTGCCTTATAAATAAACTGCAACGGTGGCAGCTCCCAGGAATTGCGTCCTCCCAGTTCCGGAGGAAAGTTCCTGAAGGCAGCCTTCTCTACTGGCTCTCCACCGCACAAGCCCTGTCCGGAAGGGCACCCACACTCGGGAGAACTCAGTTGGAATCGCAGGAGCCGGGCCACCAGCCATCCCTCATACCATCCAGTTGTCGCAGGTTCACGACCCTAAGCCCTACCAAGCCGAGGCACAGCTCCTGAACCGACTACGCTGCATAATCACGTGCGCCAACTTGGTTGGCGGGGGTGGGGGGTGGCCTGTGTACCCCAAACTCATTAGAAAGGCAACACCCTCCCCATACCGCGGCCGAGGGGACCCGGACCCACTCCTGCCCCAGGCGGTGCAACCAGGAAGAGTGGGACCGACCCGGGACGCACGCGGGGCAGTTCTGGGCCTCCACCAGGGGACGCAGCGCACTGCCGCCCCCACCCCGCCGCGCCCCAGACACCCGGCCAGCCTCGGACTCTCACCTGGCAGGGGGACACGGGCTACAGCGGCTCTCTCTGCGAGCACCTGGGCTCTCCCTGGAGCTCCGTCCCACTCTTGCTCTCCGGCACTCTCGGGGATCTGCGGGCGCCGAGCCGTCTGGGCGGGGCAGGAGGAGGAGCCCACTGGGCGGAAAACTCCGTGAGCGCGGTAGTCCCCACGCGCCTCGGGGAGGAGACTCTCGGACAGTGGCCCCGCCCCCAGGTGAGGCCCAGGAAGCGCAGCGGACGGAGAATATGGCCTCTGCTAGCTGGAGGAGGAAGCCTGGGCCCTCTCGAGGCCAGGACAGGTCCTGGAGCCCGGCAGCTGCGCTCCTGACCCGATCCAGCCCCGCCCCGCACTGGTGTCCAAGAAGGAAAGCATTTCCCAATGCCCTCTTCAGCCCAGTGTATGTCATTAATGCCTCTAAGAGGAAGAAAACTTTCTACATCAAAAAGGTCACACTCAAGGGCTGGCGTTGTGGCTCAAGGATAAAGTGCTCTCCTAGCATGCATGAGGCACTGGGTTCGATCCTCAGCACCACATAAAAATTAACTAAAGATATTGTGTCCTCCTAAAACTAAAATAAGTAAATATTTGAAAAATATTCATACTGGGTATTCATACTGGTTACACCCAGTATGGAACTGCGAAGAGGTAGGCTCATAGTGAATAAAACTGACAACCTCAGCCAAGGATCAAGGTTATCATCAACAGTGATAAATCATATTATAGTAAACATAACATGCAAAAATATCATAGGAACCCTAACTGAGGAGCAGTCCCCAGAATGCATGGGAGCACTGCTCAAAACTCTCAAGATCATCTGAAAAACAAGGAAAGTCTGAGAAGCTGTTACAGCCAGAAGAATTTGAGGAAATATGAAAACTAAATGTTTTCTGGATGGAATTCTGGAAAAAGAACATTAGGAAAAAGCTAAAGACATCTGAATAAGTGTGGCTTTTAAGTAATTATAATGCATCAATATTGGCTCATCCATTTAGCAAAAGCATCATGCTAATAGATAAAATGTTAATAATGGGAGAAGTCCTGGTTTATGAGAACTCTATATTCTCAATTTTTCTATAAATCTAAAATTGTTCTAAAAATAAAGTTATTTGTTAAAAAGGTCCCTCACGTGATATATGAATATATGGTAATTATAAAATATAAAAAATATTTGCTCTTCACTTCCCATTTTTTCGTGCATCCTTCCAAATCTCTCCCTAAAACACTCAGAGTGCACGCATGCATACTTACATAACTGTATTGTTTATAAAACGGTGTTGGAATAGTTGCAGCAACAGTAGTCTGTTTTCACTCACTATATCTTGGAGGGTCTTTCCAGGCAGGCACACCTGAATCGACTTGGTTATTTCTAAGGATTGAATAGTGTGCGCCATCACACAGTCATCATTCTTTATTATCTAGCTCCTTACTGAAGGACATTTATGTTTTGCATATTTTTGACTGATGCAAACAAGCAGCTGATCCTATTTGCATTTCGAGAGCACGCGGACTACAAGAACTAGAAGGACCACCGCGAGCGAGCGGGAGGCGGGGAGAGAGGGCTGGAGGCAGGCTCTGGCCTCCGTCTGGCGCTGTCCCTTCGCTGGCAGCGGTCTGATGCAAGCAAGCCTTGTGGGAAAGCACCTTCCAGAGCCTGGCTGCTGAGCCACATCGGACCCTCGGGGGCCCATTCATTCTCTGCGGTCTGTCAGTACTCACACACACGCGCGCACACGCGCGCACCCCTCCAGGCGGAGGAGGGCTCTTCTTAGGGGCTGGACCTGAATAGGAGGGTGAGAGGTGAAACTCAGGCTAAAGGCTCCAGAGCAGCTCTGAGGAAACGCCTCCAGGAACACAGAAGGTCAAAGGGAACAGGAAAGACTCCCCCAGGGCTGAGGTTATTATCCTTGCAGAGGCGTGGACATACTGCAGGAGATTGCATCAGAGCGAAACCCACGAAGAAACCAGCGCGCCTTTTCAGCTCTCGGGAACCCCTGTCACCTGGTGTTCTGAGTGGGTCAGGGAGATTTGTATGGGAAGGGAGCCAGGTGACTTCTGCTTGGATGCCCGTGGTCGGCAGCAGAGGCGATCTTCTTTTCTCCCTGGAGAAATACTTTCATCCACTACTGAGCAAATGTTTCTTTGTTTAAAAATAAACAATCCTTAGAGTGGATTCCTTCTTTCCCTGGTACACACTTTCCTGTCTCAGAACTCTTCAAGGCCAGAGTGGTGAATAGCCACCACTGTGCTCCCCTTCTCATAATTTTCAACCATATAGTCTCAACAAACATGTGTTAAGCCCTGACGGCGCCAGCAAGATGCTAGGGGCTGAGGAGGTACTGCAGAGGGGCCTGGCCTAGGACCTGGTTCTCCAGGTGGGTGGACAGGCTCACTGCTAGGGCTTCCATACAGGGAACACCTTGTGAGAACTGCAAAACTTAGTTTTCCAACGCCTGGGTTCTAGTTCTGATTCTGACATTACAAGTGATTCATCCTCCAAGCCTCAGGCTTTCTCACCTATAAAATCTTCAAGATTAGAAAATTAACCCTGACTTCCTTGCTGTTCAGGAATCATACAAACACCAAATGAGGAAAGGGAAAGTAAATCCCTTGTAAAAGGAAAAAAAAAAAAGTGCCTAACCCGTGGCACACGCCTGTAATCCCAGGGACTTGGCCAACTGAGGCAGGAGGATCATAAATTCAAGGTCAATCTCAGCAACTTAGCTAGACCCTATCTCAAAATAAGAAACAAAAAGAACTGGGGGTGTAACTCAGTGGTAAAGCTCCCTGGGGTTCAATCCCCAATACCGAAATAAATAAGCAAATAAGAAAAATGTCACATGCTGTTGGATTCTGAGTGATACAGTATTATTATAATCATTCTTATATTGACTCATTCAACCAACAACATTTGAGTACAGCCTACATAACTGGCCCTGTGCTTGGTACCATGGATACAAGAATAAAAGAAAATTCCTATATTCTTAACACAGTTCCTAATCTAATAGGGAAACAAATAAATCATAAATGCCACACATAATAAAGCTTGCTAGCAGGAATCCTGCGGGTTGTTGAGAGGATGGGATCTCAAAGGCTTCTGATCTCTCTCACCAGGCTTAGCAAACAAATAGCTTTTAATTTTTTAAATCATTTTCACTCTTTTTAAAATTATCTATTGCTTTAATTCTACTTTTATCTTTATAATAGTTTTCCTTCTTTGGGTTTACTGTAATGTTTTGGCTTCTAGAGTTGAATGTTAGGATCATGCTTTCCAAAGTCTTATCTTCTAGTAACTTGCTATCACTGTAAATCTCCCTGTAAATCCTGCATCACACAAGTTTTAATATGCCATGCTTTCATGACCCCTCAGTTATAAATACCTTGGGTTTTTGTTGGGACTTTACCCTTAATTCGTGGATTATTTAGTATGTTTTCAACTTTCTATTTTCAAACTTAGAGCTTTGTTAGTCTGGAGTTGTAGCTCAGTGGTAGAATGCTTGCCTCATATGTGTGAGGCACTGGTGTTCGATTCTCAGCACCACATATAAATAAGCAAATAAAATAAAGATCCAAAAACTATTAAAACAAATTTTCTTAAAACCCTACAGCTTTGTTTAAAAAAGTAATCATTTTGTCATTGACTTCTCACTTTAATGGTCAGAGATGAGAAAACGTGTTTTTTTTTTTTTTTAATTGTTGAAATTTCCTTTGTGGCCTAATATGCAGACCTTTTCTGAGGGAGGGGGGCAAACCTAGTTTTTGTGAATGTGGCTTAGTCCTTTTTATATGCAATGTTCTCTATTTCTCCATCCGGCTTACTAATCAGGTTATTTAGATCTCTGCCCCCCTAACACATCCTTCCCCCACTTCAAACTACTAATTATTGATTTATGAAAGAGTAGTTTAATATTTCCTACTTTTACTGTAGGTTGTCAATTTCTCCTTATAATTTATTTGGTCTGAGTTTGCCTTTAATTTTGAAAGCAAATTATTAGGCATGTACAAGTATGTAATTGTTGTATTCTTTCGTGACTTACTCCATTTTATTATTTTTTTCTATTAATATTGACATCCTAAGGTAGTATTTGTCTAGTGTATATCTATCTCCCCTTTCTCTTTCTTTTGTTTCTTACTTCTTCTGTTTTTACTCCTTTTAGGTTTGTCTGTTGGAAATGACATTTCTTATGTAAGATTTTTAAAGAATCATTTGAGTATCTGCTTTTAACCAGTACATTTAAACCATTTATATTGATAATAATTACAAAGATATTTGGATTTCTTTCTGTCCTCCTTGTGATATATAGATATAGGTAGCTCCATATCCCCCAGGGCTGATATTCATCTAGAACACATTGATATAACTCTATAAATTGTTACAAATTGAAGTTCTGTTTGGTGCATAGCTGTAATGGTTAATTTGAATTGTCACCTTGATTGGATTAAGAGATGCCAAAGAGCAAGGAGTTTATGGGTGTGTTGATGAGGGTGTGTCTAGGAATGATTGGCATGATAGCCAACTGAAATAGAGACCCTCCCTAAGTATGGGCAGCACCATCCAATAGGGTGGTGGGTTGAATGGAATAAAAGTTGTAAGAACAAGGAACAGCAGCAGATGCAAACTCCATTCTTCTGGAACCGGTTCTTATTTGCTGCTGTGATCATCTAAGGGTATCGAGTCTTGCTTCTTTACTCTTCCAAAGCGGACTCTGCCAGTAATTCTCTAGAAACCTTCCGTCTTGGACTAGGGTAGCACTGTTGATCCCTCTTGTACTGGGGCTTCAGTCTCTTGGGCTGTGCAGCTACTGGTTCTCCCAGCTCTCCAGTCTGCAGGCGGCCATTGTGGACTATATAGCTTCTGGTTCCGTAAGCCAACCTAATACGTCCCCTTTTAATAATTATACTTCCTGTTGATTCTGTTCCTCTAGAGAACCCTGACTAATAGCTCTCATCTCCACAAAGCCCCCACCCATGACCTTCCCCTGATCTGTCAATAAAAAGGCCAATGACTAATCAAAGGAAGGCCTTTCTAGGACATTTTCCAAGGCCCTAATAGGTCAGCAAATAGGCCATACTGTTAGTTTAGTATTTTGAATAACATGTGAAATGTACTTTCCCATTCTCATTCTTTTTTCCTCTTTACCTATATTCCTTTGTTCTGTTTGAATTTTTGTTTTGTTTTGTTTTAACAGGAAGGTGATTCTAGAGTTAC